AAGTTAAACCGAGGTCCTGACTCTCTGTGGTCATTAAAAATCCCATGGCACTTCTTGTAAAGAGTAGCGGTGTAACCACATTGTCCTGGTCAAATTTCATCCATTGGCCTTTATCAATCATGGCCTCTTAATAATCCTTAATAATGAGAGTACAGGCACTGTTGTGCAGTGGCTGCCGTCGTATCGTCCAAGTGGATGCTCACACTGGTGGTGGGTGAGGAGAGATCCCCTGATATGATTGTACAGCACTTTGGGTGTAAAGTAGTACAAAGTAAAGTGCTATATTTTCATTTCGTAGAAAATTTGAAAATATGTTACAGAATGCTGAACACATTTACAATTTATTATTGATTCAATTTATGTTTTGGATAAATATTTTGGTGGAGTATATGAGTGTTTAATACAGATTTTAGTATTCTGTTATGTGTGTTTGGAATCACTTAAGGTGAAGACATTAGGGGTATTTTGTCCCCTCCACTTTAGGTTTTATATTTAAGCTCAGCCCTGCATATATCAGTCCCTGTGAATCGTGGCCTTATTTAACTTTCTTTTTTTTTTGCCCTCTAGCAAAGAACAAAAAAAACTATGCTTGAAAGTATACTGGGGCCTTTGATTACGTAGCATACCAAATACAGAAAGGCATAAACAACGCTTTTGAAACAAAATTTTCATTGTCATTGCAGCAGTGTTGACAAAACTTCCTCAGTTGAAACCTTCCCTAATAAAAGTTAATCAAACATTCTGAAAGGCTTCCATTTCACAAGAAAGTGCCTCAGCAGAGACAATGGATGGTGTTTGTTTTCAATCAATTGCTTAACGACTTAATTGATTAAATCTCTCACTTAATTTATTAGGGGGAAATGGCGCCTGCTTAAATAAAGAGAGAGATAATTAATAAAAAATGAGGGCAGCCGGTGTGTCATGGGGTCTGAACTCTGCAGTTAACACACGAGCAGAATGATTAACTTCATTTTAAGAGTTTAGATGGAAGGCTGCTTCATTATCTCTTGAGATTGTTTTTGACAATCCTCAGTGTATCATAATGCAAGTTGGAAACACTGGGGCGTCATTTTTAGGGAACACGTTTACAGCAAACATAAATACACTCACCTAAAGGATTATTAGGAACACCTGTTCAATTTCTCATTAATGCAATTATCTAATAAACCGATCACATGGCAGTTGCTTCAATGCATTTAGGGGTGTGGTCCTGGTCAAGACAATCTCCTGAACTCCAAACTGAATGTCAGAATGGGAAAGAAAGGTGATTTAAGCAATTTTGAGCGTGGCATGGTTGTTGGTGCCAGACGGGCCGGTCTGAGTATTTCACAATCTGCTCAGTTACTGGGATTTTCACGCACAACCATTTCTAGGGTTTACAAAGAATGGTGTGAAAAGGGAAAAACATCCAGTATGCGGCAGTCCTACAATTTGCTACAATTTGCAAGAGCTCACCAAAATTGGACAGCTGAAGACTGGAAAAATGTTGCCTGGTCTGATGAGTCTCGATTTCTGTTGAGACATTCAGATGGTAGAGTCAGAATTTGGCGAAAACAGAATGAGAACATGGATCCATCATGCCTTGTTACCACTGTGCAGGCTGGTGGTGGTGGTGTAATGGTGTGGGGGATGTTTTCTTGGCACACTTTAGGCCCCTTAGTGCCAATTGGGCATCGTTTAAATGCCACGGCCTACCTGAGCATTGTTTCTGACCATGTCCATCCCTTTATGGCCACCATGTACCCATCCTCTGATGGCTACTTCCAGCAGGATAATGCACCATGTCACAAAGCTCGAATCATTTCAAATTGGTTTCTTGAACATGACAATGAGTTCACTGTACTAAAATGGCCCCCACAGTCACCAGATCTCAACCCAATAGAGCATCTTTGGGATGTGGTGGAACGGGAGCTTCGAGCCCTGGATGTGCATCCCACAAATCTCCATCAACTGCAAGATGCTATCCTATCAATATGGGCCAACATTTCTAAAGAATGCTTTCAGCACCTTGTTGAATCAATGCCACGTAGAATTAAGGCAGTTCTGAAGGCGAAAGGGGGTCAAACACAGTATTAGTATGGTGTTCCTAATAATCCTTTAGGTGAGTGTATATACAATGAAGACATTCACTGTAATTATATACATACATAAATATCCTGCATTTCAAAATAATCCACTTGTTAAGTCTGACGTGACACGTCACCGTTTTCGGGTCAGATGCCAAAAGAAAACAACAAATGGTGCTAATATGCACTTACAATGTGATGTAATACTACCAAACAGTCATAATCCTAAACCCTTGAATAATTAAAACATTGATGATGTCTGGGAGGCAGTGAGCCTGGAGACTGTATTGTACAGCATGAGTTCATTAAAGTTCATTAAAGTTTAGCTTTAATGTGTGATATTAATAAATAGTGCTCATAAACGGCTGTTGAGATATTCTCAAATGAAACGAGCAGAGGCTTGGACCTGGAAACAGTTTTCCCTTACACATAAAGTCATCAAAACTATGAAAAACCATTGGAAATAATATGAATATGGCAGGGGTGTGTAATCCTGCTCCTGGAGGACCACCTTCCTGCAGAGTTTAGCTTCTACACACCTGTTTGGAAGATTATAGTGATCCTAGTGGCGCATTAGAGTGGTGTGAGCTGGGAATATCTAGGCCGAAATGTTCCACTTCCGACTTCAGTGCATTCCAGTCATTTACACCACAAGATGGCACTCAGCGAGAACATTTCATTTGTGCCAATTATTTACGGCCAAATCATAAAATAATGTAATGTTCAGGCTGTCCCAAAATCAGTATTGTCATTTGTTATCTAATGTGAAACATGTTAGCGCTAGATAGCTGTCTATCTAGTAGTTATTGAAAATTAAAATAGGTGAAAATGTGTTAGTGATGCCAGCAGGAGGCTCTAACCCTGCGTTCTGCATAGGTTCTGCAATGCTCCAGATAGAGATAGGAACACTGTATATTGGCATCTATCCATCATGGTCCATAATTTATCCATGTACACACAGATAGGCTACATTACCCTGGCTCCTCTCCACTGGTTCATGTTACACCTTTCTTTATCTCTCTGCACTGGGAACTGGTTGCTGCTTCAAGACGCTGATGCTTGTGTAAAACAGCCACAGTCTCTGCACCTTCCAGCCTCCTCTCCTGCGCACGACTCTACATCCCCTCCAGAAGCCTGGTGTCAGTGAGCAAGGCTCAACGCTACACATTTTTTCAGATTTTTCTATGGCGTTGGTAGACATTCGCCAAAAACAACAACAACCAAAAGCAACATAGAGGGGTTTGCAATACAGATGTTGTCTTCTTTACAGCATGACAATGTGTATCCGCCGCGCTGGTCTACTGCGTCTTCTGAGGCAGCGGCAGAAATGTAGGAGGCTGGTGTGTGTGTGGCTTTACTCCGTGCTGTTCTCAAAACATGTCTCCATTATTGTTGCAATTTTCTGCTCGACCGGCATTTTGTAAAAACACAACCTTGTTTCTGCAGCGACTTTTAGCATGTTTCAGCATGTGTGAGAAAGTGACAAACCACGCAAAATCAGACTAAAAAATGGATTTTCATCATTTGATTTGAATAGGATTTCAAACCACATATGAATGTAGCTCAAAATGGATTTGTAAAAATCACATTTCATGTGATTTTTTGCCGTTCACACTTGCTAAATATAATCACATGCACAAAAATCGGATTTGGACTGACAGTCTGAACGAGGTTTTTAGGACCTAATGCACGGATCTAATATACTGACACACCTCAGACTATTTACGTTCACCACATTACTGAATGTGTTTACTTTGATACTCGCCAAGATGGGCATTTTGACAATTTTGTGTGTATTTGTCCATTCAAGTGCAAGAAGACAAAAGAGAACTGAATTCAGGGTGGTACACGAGGTGGTAATGTGGCCATATAATATATATATATATATATATATATATTAGAATGGGAATCACGGCTTTGTCGGGGCAGCTTCCTTACAATGCAATGTTTTCAGAGTAATGACATTTTAACTAGTGTGCTCATCCTCAGAATTAGACATTGCCGATTTGTAGGTAATGCATTTCCCAATATGAATTATGATGCAACTTGGTTCGTTGGTCCATTAGATTCGATTACAGATCTATGTGCACTAGAACATCTAGGCATTAAAACAGTTTTTTCCCCTTTATCCCCACTATCTCCAGCCTAAACAATTAACACAGCAACTACTACCTGTTTCTATAAGTCATACCTCAGTACCTGAGAGAGAGGCAGCTGTATATACAGTACATAATGCACAAATCGGTACACAAGTCTTCAGTTCCAGATGTATACCACTTTGTTATTATTATTTTTATTATTATTATCTTTCTTAGTCTTATTTAAATGTTCTTTCTTTCTAGTCATGTCATATATGTCTATATGTCTGTATGCAAGCATGCATCCAGAGCTCCTGAAAAACCACAACAAATTCCTTGTGTTTGTGCGCACTTGGCGAATAAAACTCATTGTGATACTTGATTGCTTTCTCACCCCAAGTACAACCACTCCAGAGCTTGTTTTCAATTTGGCCAAGACCACCTCGTTCATGCACTCTCAAACCAATTATTTTGGTGTGGATCCGAGCGTGATTGTATGCTCATATGCCTAAACGAAACTAAAGGAGAAAATGTATCAGGTTCTGAAACGAATGCTCCAAAAGCGCATAGTGTAGTGGGACACAGCCCAGGATCCCGTTGAATAAATTGCTTAGAGCAGTCAAAGTTAATCATCTAATTTTTTTTCAAGACTTCATAACTTTAAGTCAGTTACATAAAAAGTGGTCTATTTTAATTTTAAAATTTAATCAGACTAGTTCACAGTCTTAACATTTAGGGGCTGTTTATGCATTTGGCAGCCAGGATTGAACACCAGTGTTGTATTGTATGGAATGATTCTCATGTCACATCATGAATGGGTGTATAGGTATATTATTACAGAGTAAAGGTTTCTTACCTGACCTCACAGGAATGGACACTTAGCTCTTTGTGCAGGAGGCCACTGGTCAAGTTGTACACCAGCACAGAGCCATTGCTTGTACCTAATGGGTAAACATGCAAAACACACGCACACAAATTAATGCTGTAATTGGCTAGTTAACATGATTTAATTATTTGAATTATCCTTGTTAAGGCATTAACAATTATTGCCTTTGATTACAAATACATAATTATAATCATTGTAAAACTTGTCAAACTACATTTTAATAAGTAATTTCTGATGACAGTGTTCATAACACAGCATGCTCAGACTGAACAGAACATCATTCATCCCGTCAGTGGAGGCTGATAGGTGTAGCACTGAGAGGAGAATGAGAGAAGAGTGACTGAGAGGTAGTGAAGTGTTTCAGGGAGTTTCAGTGATGGGACAGAGCTGAGGTGGCATGCCAGTTGAGTTTGAGGGTACATTTTTCTCTAATTTGTTTGAGTGAGTAGAAATGTGCAGATAAAATTATTAAAGGGGACCTATAATGGCCTTTTGCGAAGTCTTGATTTTGTTTTAGGCGTCTACTAGAATGTTTTCACACTTGAATGTCCAAAAAACACATTTTTTTCCCATATTCTCCATTGTTGGAGCTCCTCGCTTCCCAGTCTGTCAGTTACGCTCTGTTTAGTTCCAGTCTCTATGAAGCCCCTCCTTCTGAAAAGCACACTGTGCTCTGATTGGTCGGCTGGAGCAGTGTGTTGTAATTGGTCAAGCGCTTCGAGCGTGTTTGGGAAATGTCCCATACATTACCATAACCGCAAGTTTCAACACACTACTAACTCAGAGGCTCCGCCCCTTTATTCTGCGTATGCCTTTCTCAGAAGGAAACTCAAGACTACTATAGAGGGTATGCGTTGACGTCACTCTCCCGCTGGAACACACTCGCTCAGCCGGACTGAGTGGCAGAAGAGCTGCTGTGTGACTGGATTTAATAGAGGAAACTGCGAAAACGTGAATAAAACAAACGATTATCTGTTTAATCTAAAGGTTGGACTCGATATAGTGTTCATTACAACTTACCAAAGATCCAGTGATCCGTGGATATTATTGACATGCAGGAGGAATCGTGTTTCCTGACATTTATATGTGCCTGATTTAGACATCGGGGAAATACATAAAGCAAATTTGCCTGTGAACGCTTTATATAAATACAATATAGGTCTAGATCCAGGTTATCACTCATATCAATGTTACTGTATATCCTCATACTGTCCAGCCTTAAAACTTGAATAGTTTTTGTCAGAGTTTATTTAAAAACGTGCAATTATGCAGAATATACACTACCGTTCAAAAGTTTGGGGTCAGTGAGAATTTTATTTTTATTTTTTGGAGGAAAGAAATCAATACTTTTATTTATCAAGGACAGTAAAGACATTTATAATGTTACAAAAGATTCTATTTCAAACAAATGCTGTTCTTATGAACTTCCTATTCATCAAAGAATCCAAAAAAAAAAAAAAAACTGTACAACTGACAGACCAACAACTGTTTCAACATTGATAATAATAATAAATGTTTCTTGAGCATTAAATCCTCATATTATACTGATTTGTGAAGGATCATTTGACACTGAAGACACTGGTGATGCTGAAAATTCAGCTTTGATCACAGGAATAAATTACACTTTACTATATATTCACACAGAAAACAGCTGATTTACACTGGAATAATATTTAATACTATAACTGATTTTTGTTGTATTTTTAATCAAATAAGCGCAGCCATGGTTAGCAGAAGAGAATTCTTTTAAAAGTATTTAAAATCGTACCGACCCCAAACTTTTGAACGGTAGTGTACAATGGTAAATATTTAATTGATGAGTTGTCAATACAATATACAACAATACATTATAGGGTATGATTTTACCCCTAAATTCAGCATATTGACACAAAATTATAACTGCAAATCCACCTTTCATTGCCTGGATCCAGTTGTTTCTGTGAATTGCAGCTATACATTTGCTTCTCTGTTCTGTAGCTTTCAGCAGTCTGTAAAAATATTCCTCAGATTTCTTGTCAAATCTAGTTGTGCAGGCAATCACAAAGCTCTTTCCCATTTTAGATGTGTTTTGTGTGTTGTTCGCGGCATTCACACTGAAAACAAATGCTGCCGCTCAGTGTTTTTGCCACTTAAAGGGCGTGATGGTGATGCGCATACCATCTATAGAGGCGTTTCAGGGAGTTTAGAAACAGAGCGCACTGATATAGAGAATAACTCCCGCTGGAGGGACTGTGCCTTGGAACTTTCCAAAGCCTTTTCATGCTTAAATAAATGAAGATGACTTGACTTAAACAGCAACATTACACACAAAAGAAATATTAACACGTAAAAAACCTTAGTAAGATCCCTTTAATCAATTAATCATGATTCTCCCTTCAATGTAAAGCGCTTTGAGTACCAAGAAAAGCGCTATATAAATGTAATGAATTATTATTATAGTTATTGCAGCTAAAGATCCTTGCATATTTATTAATGTGTTTTGTTAAACTGTGATTATACATCAATTAAATTCAATGATCAATCAAACAAGCTCAAGTCGTGACCAGCAAACAGCCGGCACAGACCGAATGCATCGACTAGAGGCACAACTGATGTGCAACCCATAATCGCACTGTGATGCGTTTCTAAATGTGCAGTAGCTGGTTTGTTTGCTAAAGTACGTATAATCATTTGGCACAGAATAATGTACTACACAGGGTAATTCTAGCAGGCACCACAGTGTCAGACTATATGCGCATAGAGAGAGAGAATTTTTCAAGAAATCACAAAGCTTTATAAGACATGAGACAGTAAATTCAGATCTGAGTGCATCAGACAGCTTAGCATTCACTGCATCATTTCTATCAGAGAAGACCAGGCTCGTGGTTTCAGTCCAAATGCCATTATTGTATTGCATCCAAAATTGCCCAATTGTCTGGCTTCAAATGCCACACATACAAATGTTGCATATGGACCTTCTTTCCCTCAAGTACTAGATGACCTCGTCAAGATCGCATCTTTGAAGTTTTGAGATGGTTAAAAAAAAAAGCCACCATTGGGAATGATTCAGCAACAGTCCTTGTGCATTGAGGCAGAAAGAGGGTTTGAAGTTCTGTTTCTTCCCTGAGGCAAAAACTGTGCTATGGAGTTGCTTTAGAAATCCATGATCCGTCAAGAAGGATTCCCGTTACAGGGTATTGACAACTGCAGTGTGCTTGTTCAATTGGATGTATAGTGCACTCGAGGAGCTACACAATCTCATCAAGACTGAACCGCTGTGTTGACTCCAATAATGAGATGACAAGTAGAGACAATTAGGCCACCAATCACAGAGCTCAAATTACAATTTGCAAGATCCGTGGACCAAACTGAGTGAAACCTCATTTAAAAACATATTGATATTTCTGTAATGCAATAAAACAGATTTTCACATATTTAGGAGGGTCTTTAAGCAGTAAAATATTTTCCGTTTGTCTAGTACTCAACACATGTAACTCAATTGGAGCTCTATTTTTAGCCACAGCTATAGCTGAAATCATACATTAGTCTACAAATTGTCAAAGTTTAGTATGTTTTGTGACTTGTGCAGTTTTTAATATAAGTGTAAAGCTTTTAATCTTTGCAGAATATTTAATTAAGAGATGATTGAGTAAACAGAACATCTATGGCCTTGCTGGTTTGAAATGCTGTGATGAATGACGTTTGCATTAGATTTAATCAAAAAGAAATTAATTTCAGCTCATATGATTTCCTTTTCTTGGCTCATTCACTTTGCTGTCAAAAAATCAGGTCACGCTCACAGAAAGACTGGAAATGTTACTTGTGTAAAAAAACAAACTCCATCAATATGTGCACTCTTAATACACGATATGCTACAGTGATTTTGAGAATGGAATATGGATAGTTGAACTACATCATTCAACTTACAAGCATATTGGGGTGTGTGATTTGTATCGTCTACGATAATATTGTAACTTGTTTTAACAATGTGCAAACCGAAGTTATAGAGTATGTCACCCACCCAGAGTATGCAAAAAAAAAAAAAAAAAAAAAAAAAAAAAAAAAAAAAAAAAAAAAAAACTTTCACTGTGTTGTTAGCTTATTAAAATGCAGAAATTCCGAAATTCAAGATATGGGGGCAAAAAAGTTGTCGTCTAATATTCATAAAATATAATATAGTTCCTCAATATCACATGAGCATGAGTGCAGGTTTTTCTTGAATATCAGCACGACTGTAAATGTGATAATGGTTTTATACAACAGATCAATAAACAAGAAGTTAATATTGTGAGTTTCATTTCAACTTTGACAATATCTGTTTTTTTTCTATTTTGCCAATGAAAATAGTTCCAAACAAACCCAAAGCAGAAGTGTTTGGAGTCTTCCAGCAACACACAGTGGTGTTTTGTTACTAAATCAATCTGCCTTTTTAAAAGAATTGGATGATTCAATGGCCCATTTATTTAGGCAGTCACTTAAAGGTACAATATGTAGGTTTTTGCAGTAAAATATCCAAAAACCACTAGGCCAATGTTATATATTTTGTTTAGTTGATTACATACAATATCCCCAATGTTTCCAACTAATGGTAAATCGTGAAAAAATTGAGATTTTAACCAATGAAACGGGGCGTGTCAGCAGGGGTGAGGAGTCGCCAGGCAATGACGTCATATCCGCGTTACCCTCGGTTTCCGCTCGTACTGCCAATGTAACCATGGCGACAGACGCGGACAACTGGGTTATGCTTAGCAGGACGCTCACGCTGTTGTTGTTTTGTTCAAACATTTTGGACCATGGCAAGCAGACTTTGAGACAAAAAGAGGACTAGAACGAAGATCAACATCTTTCGAGATGCCGAGAGCGTCACGTCCGCGACTAACTTCGACTCGACAGAGACGCGAGTGTTGCATGTACTTTATTAGACAGGTGAGCAAATGTACATAAAACTAATCAATGTTATTTAGTTCAACATGATGAAATGTTAGAATATGATCTGTGTGTTATTCTAATGTTGATCTAGCTCACTGCTAGTCTCATACAGCCAACACACAACCTAACTAACAACATTCAACACACTCAAATGCAGTTTAGTGTGATAGTGTAACTGTTAGAGCAAGTGAAACAGCGCTGCGTTACCTCAAGTTTCATTCGTCTAATAAACTGACCTGGCGCTGGTAACGTTATACGTCTAGCAATCGCGCCCTGCTTCACACCACAGTCAAGTTAAAAACATCACTGTATTCACTCATCCATAAAAGATCCATCAGCTTGACGACAAGATCCATTCCGCTTGATGCTTTGCGTCATCGATATACGCCTTTGTTATTGTAAGAGATTAGCGACCCCTGGTGGCCAAAAATTACATACTGTACGTTTAATTCCTGAACGAATCAGCGATTTGAATGAATTGTTTCGAAAACTAGTCCGAATAGGGCTTTACAGTCATTCATTTAATCAATGTTTGACATACAACTCTTAACACCTGACTTTGTTCGGGATTAACGTCTCTGTGTTTATTGCAGAAGTAGGAGTGTGTGTTTTCTAGAAGTGGGTGTTACAGATGGCCGTGCTGTGGTTGCAAGCATCACATATGTTTTCTAATGATTTATTTTTATATACTATAAAAACCTTTCTTTAAATGAATGTCACATGAGTTTATAGAAGTGGCAACTATAATAAATCCACGTAAATGAACCGAGAAATCTAAACATGTATCCTACCTTTTGCTGATATTAAAATGGCCAGTCTTAGAAGTTTCCGTGATTTACTCTCTTTGATTAATTTTATTACAATACTTTTGTCGTTGAATTGCTGCACATATTGAAAGGTAATAATACAGATGCTGGGGTTGTTATCATTTTTGATTACATATTCTCTGAATAGACTTCCTGTAGCCAGTCATTTTCTAAAGCTAGGGCAATGAAGAGAACAATCGTATTTTAGCTGGACTGCTACCTGAAAAATATATTCTAGGATAGACTGAAGTTGTGTATTTCCAAAGGGGGAAGAGAGACATTTAAATGAAATTAAAGGGAAGTTAAAGGAAGTAACCAACTTTTACCGAATAACTCCAGATCAGTTACAGACAAAAGGGCCAAACTAAACTGATTCTGGGCTTGATGCCCATGACACAGACAAACAGCACCCAAGACAAAGCCAGAAAGCCCCTGTCCAGGTCTTTAAAGTGTCTTTATCTGTTCTATTTGATGAGAGTTGAGATTGTACATGCTGTGTGTGTGCATGTTTAAATCATGTCAGCTATATAACGGAGGGGGAAAGTGTCTGGTCTCTGCATGTGCAGTACTCACCCACGGCCAGTAAGGGCTGGTAGTGGTTGATGTTCTTGGTGGTGAGTGGAGGACACATCCGCAGGGAGAAGGGGGGCAAGGGCAGGCCAGACAACAGCCCCGTCAACAGGAACTTCAGATGTACTTCCTGTTGATCTGCCAGGGGTCGCGGGGAGTCCACTCCAGAAATCAGACTGTGACCTGGAACAGCGACAGATCACATAATTGATCTAAATGAAACAACAGAGCAGCTCTTTGAGGCAGTTGAGCGAAAAGAGAGAAGGTGGCCATTAAATCCAGATCATTAATTCAGCTATTATTTTGTCCTGTGGACTATATGTAAACATCTGTTATGTAAAATAGACGTTTCAGGACAGTACAACACAATAACATGTACATTTTTATGACCCTCCTATTTTGTTAAAATTATTAACACTTTTAGAGATTATGTTAGTGTGGCATGTAAACTTATTAATGCAACAGTAAATAGATTTAACAGTAACAAAAATTAACATGCAAGATTTTTTAATGATTTTAAAGAGACAGAACATGTAGCCTGAAGTTACATTAAAATGTTGGAATAAATTATTGTATTATTTCATTGAATTCTGTCTTTCTGACTACTTACAGATTTTTTTTAATAAACCAATTGCAAATAAGTTATTATTATTAATATTAACTTGTACAAAAATATTTGATATTTGACCGACACCCACAGTCCTCCTCACTTTGTGCACTGCTTTTATGGTGCTTTTGCATTGTTTTTGATGCTTGAAAGCATCAGTCCCCATTTATTGCAACTGCTTGGAAAAGAGTGACCAGCATTACTCTTCAAAATCCTCTTTTTGTGTTCCACAGAAAAAAGAAAATAATTCAGGTTTAGAACTCTTCTTTTAAGACCCAAACGCCCACCCAATGCCCATGATTAAAGACACAACAGGAGATAAACCCGGCCACAGGCTATGAGTGTTATCAGTGCTGGGCTTCTAAAAGGGAAAATAAGATGTGCAGATACTGTAAAAGACAGATAGCAGAGTGAGGCCTCAGGGTCTTCAGCCTGGAAATATCTCCTCAAGTCAAAGGCTAGGAGAATGAAGCCTGAGACTGTTTAAATGAGTTATATTTAGAAGCCAGGATAAGGCAATCATGTGGAAGAAAAGAAAAGAAAAGTGTGTGTGTGTTTGTTTGGGTCGGATGGCTGTCTTACCAATCATTGTATTCAGAGAAAGATCCGGGATGCATTTTTGATTCTGACGTAAAGGTGTTCCACAGAAATTCACGGGAGAATACAAAGGAGGCAAGCCAGAACTGAGAGAAAGAAAATGTATTGTGGGTGAATCTCACAAACCATGAAAAAATACAATACATTTTATTAAAACAAACATATAAACAGTATAATAAATCTGACAACAATTGCACAATTTAAAGAAGAGTATTTTTTTTTTTGTTTAGAGCCGTATTGAACTATGTTTGAATCATTGGATTATTATTTTCCTGCTGATCCCTGTAAAGCTGCTTGGAAACAATTTGCATTACATAAAGCGCTATTAAAATAAAGATAAATTGAATTTTAAAGTTGTCGTGACATGAGAAATCTAATTTGCCTTGATCTTTTGACATAATAGGGGTCTTTGTACCATTAAAAAAACATTTTTCCATAGCTCAAAACGTCCTCATTAAAACAAAGCATTTATTTAATCAAGCTCCAAAATGACTCGTTTTGATATTGAGGGATCTGTGACATCACACGGGAAAATACATTTGCATATGCCCGCCTCCAGTGCAAGACATCGACGAATAGTTTTACATCATCAAACAATAGGCCCAGCCCAATGGCGTTCAGTCGCTTCACAGCTGACATTCGCCTACACTGGATTTGAGCGTTCTGTCAAAATCAAATAGAAGCCATTACAATGACTGACGCTGATACACTGATACAGTATACAGATGTGTGTTCAGATTATAATGACTGACGCTGTCTACGCTGATAAAGTATACAGATGTGTGTTCAGATTATAATGACTGACGCTGTCTACACTGATACAGTATACAGATGTGTGTTCAGATTATAATGACTGACGCTGATACACTGATACAGTATACAGATGTGTGTTCAGATTATAATGACTGACGCTGTCTACACTGATACAGTATACAGATGTGTGTTCAGATTATAATGACTGACGCTGTCTACACTGATACAGTATACAGATGTGTGTTCAGATTATAATGACTGACGCTGTCTACACTGATACAGTATACAGATGTGTGTTCAGATTATAATGACTGATGCTGTCTACACTGATACAGTATACAGATGTGTGTTCAGATTATAATGACTGACGCTGTCTACGCTGAGACAGTATACAGATGTGTGTTCAGGTTATAATGACTGACGCTGTCTACACTGATACAGTATACAGATGTGTGTTCAGATTATAATGAGTGACGCTGTCTACACTGATACAGTATACAGATGTGTGTTCAGATTATAATGAGTGACGCTGTCTACACTGATACAGTATACAGATGTGTGTTCAGATTATAATGACTGACGCTGATACACTGATACAGTATACAGATGTGTGTTCAGATTATAATGAGTGACGCTGTCTACACTGATACAGTATACAGATGTGTGTTCAGATTATAATGACTGACGCTGATACACTGATACAGTATACAGATGTGTGTTCAGATTATAATGACTGACGCTGATACACTGATACAGTATACAGATGTGTGTTCAGATTATAATGACTGACGCTGTCTACACTGATACAGTATACAGATGTGTGTTCAGATTATAATGACTGACGCTTATACACTGATACAGTATACAGATGTGTGTTAAGATTATAATGACTGACGCTGATACACTGATACAGTATAGAGATGTGTGTTCAGATTATAATGACTGACGCTGATACACTGATACAGTATACAGATGTGTGTTCAGATTATAATGACTGACGCTGATACACTGATACAGTATACAGATGTGTGTTCAGATTATAATGAGTGACGCTGTCTACACTGATACAGTATACAGATGTGTGTTCAGATTATAATGAGTGACGCTGTCTACACTGATACAGTATACAGATGTGTGTTCAGATTATAATGAGTGACGCTGTCTACACTGATACAGTATACAGATGTGTGTTCAGATTATAATGACTGACGCTGATACACTGATACAGTATACAGATGTGTGTTCAGATTATAATGAGAGACGCTGTCTACACTGATACAGTATACAGATGTGTGTTCAGATTATAATGACTGACGCTGATACACTGATACAGTATACAGATGTGTGTTCAGATTATAATGACTGACGCTGTCTACACTGATACAGTATACAGATGTGTGTTCAGATTATAATGACTGACGCTGATACACTGATACAGTATACAGATGTGTGTTCAGATTATAATGACTGACGCTGTCTACACTGATACAGTATACAGATGTGTGTTCAGATTATAATGACTGACGCTTATACACTGATACAGTATACAGATGTGTGTTAAGATTATAAAGACTGACGCTGATACACTGATACAGTATAGAGATGTGTGTTCAGATTATAATGACTGACGCTGATACACTGATACAGTATACAGATGTGTGTTCAGATTATAATGACTGACGCTGATACACTGATACAGTATACAGATGTGTGTTCAGATTATAATGACTGACGCTTATACACTGATACAGTATACAGATTTGTGTTAAGATTATAATGACTGACGCTGATACACTGATACAGTATAGAGATGTGTGTTCAGATTATAATGACTGACGCTGATACACTGATACAGTATACAGATGTGTGTTCAGATTATAATGACTGACGCTGATACACTGATACAGTATACAGATGTGTGTTCAGATTATAATGAGTGACGCTGTCTACACTGATACAGTATACAGATGTGTGTTCAGATTATAATGACTGACGCTGTCTACACTGATACAGTATACAGATGTGTGTTCAGTTTATAATGACTGACGCTGATACACTGATACAGTATACAGATGTGTGTTAAGATTATAATGACTGACGCTGATACACTGATACAGTATAGAGATGTGTGTTCAGATTATAATGACTGACGCTGTCTACACTGATACAGTATACAGATGTGTGTTCATATTATAATGACTGACGCTGTCTACACTGATACAGTATACATATGTGTGTTCAGATTATAATGACTGACGCTGATACACTGATACAGCATACAGATGTGTGTTCAGATTATAATGACTGACGCTGATACACTGATACAGTATACAGATGTGTGTTCAGATTATAATGACTGACGCTGATACACTGATACAGTATACAGATGTGTGTTCAGATTATAATGACTGACGCTGATACACTGATACAGTATACATATGTGTTCAGATTATAATGACTGACGCTGATACACTGATACAGTATACAATTGTGTGTTCAGATTATCATGACTGACGCTGTCTACACTGATCCTGTATACAGATGTGTGTTCAGATTATAATGACTGACGCTGATACACTGATACTGTATACATATGTGTACAGATTATAATGACTGACGCTATCTACACTGATACAGTATACAGATGTGTGTTCAGATTATAATGACTGACGCTGTCTACACTGATACAGTATACAGATGTGTGTTCAGATTATAATGACTGACGCTGTCTACACTGATACAGTATACAGATGTGTGTTCAGATTATAATGACTGACGCTGTCTACACTGATACAGTATACAGATGTGTGTTCATATTATAATGACTGACGCTGTCTACACTGATACAGTATACAGATGTGTGTTCAGATTATAATGACTGACGCTGATACACTGATACAGTATACAGATGTGTGTTCAGATTATAATGACTGACGCTGATACACTGATACAGTATACAGATGTGTGTTCAGATTATAATGACTGACGCTGTCTACACTGATACAGTATACAGATGTGTGTTCAGATTATAATGAGTGACGCTGATACACTGATACAGTATACAGATGTGTGTTCAGATTATAATGACTGACGCTGATACACTGATACAGTATACAGATGTGTGTTCAGATTATAATGACTGACGCTGATACATTGATACTGTATAGAGATGTGTGTTCAGATTATAATGACTGACGCTGTCTACACTGATACAGTATACAGATGTGTGTTCAGATTATAATGACTGACGCTGTCTACACTGATATAGTATACAGATGTGTGTTCAGATTATAATGACTGACGCTGATACACTGATACAGTATACAGATGTGTGTTCAGATTATAATGACTGACGCTGTCTACACTGATATAGTATACAGATGTGTGTTCAGATTATAATGACTGACGCTGTCTACGCTGATACAGTATACAGATGTGTGTTCAGATTATAACGACTGACGCTGTCTACACTGATACAGTATACAGATGTGTGTTCAGATTATAATGACTGACGCTGTCTACACTGATACAGTATACAGATGTGTGTTCAGATTATAATGACTGACACTGTCTACACTGATACAGTATACAGATGTGTGTTCAGAATATAATGACTGACGCTGTCTACACTGATACTGTATACAGATGTGTGTTCAGATTATAATGACTGACGCTGTCTACACTGATACAGTATACATATGTGTGTTCAGATTATAATGACTGACGCTGTCTACACTGATACTGTATACAGATGTGTGTTCAGATTATAATGACTGACGCTGTCTACACTGATACAGTATACAGATGTTTGTTCAGATTATAATGACTGACGCTGATACACTGATACAGTATACAGATGTGTGTTCAGATTATAATGAGTGACGCTGTCTACACTGATACAGTATACAGATGTGTGTTCAGATTATAATGACTGACGCTGTCTACACTGATACAGTATACAGATGTGTGTTCAGTTTATAATGACTGACGCTGATACACTGATACAGTATACAGATGTGTGTTAAGATTATAATGACTGACGCTGATACACTGATACAGTATAGAGATGTGTGTTCAGATTATAATGACTGACGCTGTCTACACTGATACAGTATACAGATGTGTGTTCATATTATAATGACTGACGCTGTCTACACTGATACAGTATACATATGTGTGTTCAGATTATAATGACTGACGCTGATACACTGATACAGCATACAGATGTGTGTTCAGATTATAATGACTGACGCTGATACACTGATACAGTATACAGATGTGTGTTCAGATTATAATGACTGACGCTGATACACTGATACAGTATACAGATGTG